CCCCCCCTCCCTCTGGGCCTCTCACGAGCTTGCAGGCATTGCCCATCAACACCCTGGGGGACAGCAGCAGTGGTAGCAGCAACAGCAGCAAGGGAGGGCGTCTCTTAGCACACACGGTCCCTGCCCAGCCCTGAGGAAAATGCTTATGAGCCCCAGACAGGAGCCCGACAGCCAAGCTATGGTAGGACCAGCCAGCTGCATCCTCCGTACCCGGAGAAGGGTGGGAGCAGCTGGAGGAAACCCCTCTCCAACCCCACCCACCCCACAGCACAGCGTGGCCTGGGGCAGAGCAGCAACTCCAAGTCTCCTGCCTACTCACCTGGACAGCACAAAGCACAGGATCCCTGCAGACAGGAGGACCAGCACCAACAGCACCACCACCGCCACCGTGACTGCCAACCCAGGCCACGGGCCCAGAGGCTGTCCTACAACTAACAAGCAGCCAGAAGTGGGTGCCACAGCCTGGACCATGCGCCAGTGATGGCCCCGACCTTGGCATTGGGTGTGTGCATGTGTGCAGACATGTGTGTCCAGGCTCGGCTGTCCTGGCTGCTGCAGGGACAGGTGGCGAGGCACAGCCTCCCCTTGCCCTCACATATGCTAGGCAGGGCAGGGCTTTGGAGCACGGGGACTTGTCCCATCTGCCATACACAACCGGAGGGTCGGGAAGCCCTCTCAACCAGCCTGCGCACAGCAAGACGACACACAGACCCAGCGCTGTCTGACCTTGAGCCCCCATGCACCCAAACGCAGGGGTGGGTATCATCGTCTCCAGTGGAAGACTAGAGGGGCCAGCTCTGCTCTCGCATGCACAAAGAGGGGCTGAAGCGATGCAGCTGCTCTGGGGACCAGGCGATGCATGCCCTCGAAGCTGGACTCACCCAGCCCTGTGGCCCACTGCTGAGGCAGGCTCTCAGGGTGACCACGCTCCCTGCGTCTGTCTTGGCGGGGATGGCGTGGGTGCACACACAGCTCTGGAAGCTGTTCCAGGCTCAGCACTCGCTCCCAGGGAGGCCACCTCAGCCAGACCCAGGGCAGAACAACCATTACCCGAGATGTAGCTTCGAAATTCCAGCAGTGACGCAGCCCCAGCAGCAGCCGCTGTGAGGCCCTGCACTGTCACCGTGTATTTGCTTCCAGGCGTCTGATGAGATGGCATGTACTGAGTGACAGACTGGTTCACCAATACCTGCTTGAATTCAAGGAAGCTGCCATCGTGCACTCTCCAGGCCGTGATGTTCAGCTAGAGGAAGGACACAGAGCTGGTGGGGAGCAGCACCGACCTCCCACTCCTGCTCAGGGCAGCTCTGCAGAGAGGGGCTGATACTGCTGGCTGAGGACAGGAGGGGAGCTGACCCCACCAGAAACACCAGCAGTGTAGAGCTAGTGGGCCCTGCCTGAGGAGGGCTCACACCTCTCCCCAGAGCTCCAGGCAAGGAGGCACCTGGCAAGGTCAGGGGGATCACGGGGAGTCCGTGGTCCCCTGGTACCTGGTATCCGATGATCTCCCCTTTGCAGGAGGGCAGCGGCTTCCACCGGAGGGACCCCGTGTTGGGATCCAGCCACAGCTTCTCTGGTTTGTCCGGCACTGGAAGCACAGGAGGATGGGGTCACACATGAGGCCAGCAAGGATTTGTGCCCCACAAAGGCTTCATGTGCCACAGCAGCAGCAATGGTGTGGTAAGGAAGGGGAGAGTGAGGAGGGGACGTGCCATGCTCCAGGGCCCTGCACAGCCCCTTCCCCAGAGCTCCACAGACTCCAAACAGCCACAATCCCAGGACCATCACTGCAGGGAGCAGATGTTCGGGCTGAGCTGCCAGGCGAAGGGCATCTTTACATTTCATGTAAACATACCCGTTTCCTTTGTCCTGAGGAGCCGTGTGTACAGGATTGTGCTGGGCGGCAGGGAGATGGTGACACTGTAGACAGTGAAGGGCTGCAGAGGGGGACAGGTGAATGTTCCCTTCCGGCCATGTAGTCTCTCCTCTCCCTTCACCTCCTCAGCCTCACAGGGAGGGGAGGAATGCTCTTCCAGCCGGCACCTGGCCCAAATGTGTTGGCAGACTTCAGGGAGCCTGCAGGTCCAGTTCAGTTTGATGCTGGTGCTGGAAATCTCCAAGGTCTCGGGGACAACCTGGAGGACATCTGCGAAGGAAACATTGCAAGAGGGTCACTTCCTTCCCTTGCCCTCCCAGCCTTGCAGCCAGCCTCCGCCATCCCCACCGCTCCCTCACTAGCCTGTCCCCAGCACAGTGTGGACGAGGCCATCCCGCCTTCTCCCACACCACACTCAGGCACTGCCTGCACCTTCCTCTGGCCCTCGACCATTCCCAGGGGTACTCTGTGTGCTGCAGTGACTGTGGGAGGGTAAGAGCAAGCACTTGTGGCCTCTCTGTAGCTGCTAACCCTGGGGCTAGCCACTGATCCAGTGACTGGTCCCTTTCATACCAGCAATGACTTAGCCAACAAACCCAGCAGCCAGACCGGGGGCCTGCCCTCCTGCCCCTGGACTCTCGTGCTCTTCTCCAGGCAGACCCATCTGACTGGTCTGGGCACGCTGCCTGGCACCGTATGCACAGTGATGAGGACTCATCCCCCTCGGCGCTGTGCAGGGTGCCCCAGCTGCCGACAGCACGGAGACAAACCTGGCATGCATCAGCAGCAGTTTTCTCTGGAGTGAATGCCCACGCCATGCCCTGACCACCCCGAGCACGGGGCACTAACGCTGTGGGACACATGCAGCACTGCTCTCCCTGCCTGGGGAGAACAGACTGAGAGCACTGGGAGAATGGCTGCTTCGATCACTTACCCACACAGGTCAGGTTCCCCTCCATAGGGTGCCAGCGGCCTGTGCCGTTCCTCACAACCCAGCCGCTGCGAGGAATCGTGGAGCCTTCCCTTGGGTTCAGCTTCACGCATTTGATCTCCACGGGGGGAGGCCAGTGCCCCTCAGGGCATCTCATCTTTACCACTTCATTTGGGTTGAAGGTCCACCGTTCTTGGTCAAAGATAAACCTGGGGTCCCACTGGGGCTTCTCACATTTCTCTGCACCAACAAGATGGGAAGGCGTTAGCAGGGCAGAGGTTGGCCCCGCAGGGCATGCCAGGGGATGGAGCAGGGGATCCCCTTCCCTGGCACAGCAGGGCGAGGGATGGAGCTGCAGGACACCATATAGAGCAGCCCTCCCGCACCACATCCTCAGCAAGGGACTGAGGACAAGAAGGGCCCCACACTGCTCCCCTGAGGCCTCCCAGGAAAGACCAGGAGGAGCTGGAGCTCCAGGGACCAGAGGCACCATGCAATGCTCAAAGCTGCAGAGGGATGGAAAGCTCAGAATTTGGCTCTGGGGCCTCACAGACCCCTCAGTTGAGCCTGGTAACATGCAACTTTAAGTCTACAAGGGGACTGTACAGGACACCCTGAAAGTCTGGGCCGTGCGTGGAGCTGCCCCCACAGGCCCTGCTCAAGGATCCACAGGAGAAGCATCCCTTTCCCCTACCACCCATGTCCCCACGCTCCCCGTGCTCACAGCTGCCTGCAGGGAACCAGCCCCAAGCCCTCTCGCTGTGGCCCAGCCAGAGGGGTCACGGGGCATGCAGAGAGTCGGGCAGCACCAGAGGACAGCTCATTCCTGACCTTCGGCATGTGGTACAGGGCTTCCCACACCAACACAAGCTCCACTACGCATCACTGTACCATGCCCAGTGCTTGAGCTTCTCTCCCTCGTGCACATGCTGTTGCCAGAAACCCTCAGGGAGACCCACAGCACTCACACACCTCCACCATCAACCTCCCACCCACCCGTGATCCCACCCACCAGGGCTCTGCCCTGGCCCGGCATGGGCACCTCTGGTCACTGCCCCCCACCCTGATCCCACAGTCCCTTCCTGGCAGGACCCTCAGGGGCAGAGGCTGGCACCAGACCCCTCCCCACAGAGGCTCCGCTGGAGCCCCGGGACAAACACAGGGCAGGCTCAGGGGCGGCCTCCACTCAGCCTTCAGCAGCACCTACCATTTCCCCAGGCAGGCAGAGAGCCCCAGACCTCCTGTGTACGCACAGCCTGCCTTCCCCTGCTCAGGAAGGGCAAAGCGGGGCAGCCAGGACAGCTCCTGATGCCTCCCTTACCAATGCACTCCACGTTGGACCGAATGCGGACCCAGCCACCTCTGCTGTCCCTTCCACGCCAAACTTCTCTGTATACAGGTTTCCCATGACTGATGGACTGGACTTCACTCGAACATTTTATTTCAGTGAAGGACGGCTGGAAACCCTCAGGGCAGCTCAGCATCACTTCTTCGTTCTTCTTGTAATTGTCCTGGTCTGGTGCCAGCCGGAGTCTCGAGTCCCACTGGGGCCTTTGGCACATTTCTGGCAGAGGTGAAAGGGGCTGTTAGTTGGGCTGGAGGTGACGAGGTTGGGCAGGGATAGGTGGTGGGGTATCAGCAATCCCCAACAATCCCTCCAGCCCCTGCAGGGAGAGGGAAGGTGACACGTCCATCTGCCAGGACATGACCCCTCAGCAAGGCTTGTTGGCAGGGGGCTCTCCCTCTGTACTGCTCAGGAACCACTGCAGGAGTTGCCAGCTTGCTCGCTGGCACTCTCTTGTCTCTTGCCTCCTGCCTGGGCTGTCCTTTTAACAGTTTGTACGGGCAACACAGCACCAAGGAGGGACTGTGGCGTGCCTGCAGCTCAGCTGGGCAATGTCACAGCCCGCTATCGAGGGTGACGGTAGAGAGGGAACATGGGAGAGCTGCTGCTGCCTCACTTACCACTACACTCTACGGCCCCCTCAATGATCATCCAGGCACCTGTGCTGCTCCTGCCCCACCAGGCATTTCTGTAGGCTGGTTTTCCAGAACTCACTCGTAGAAATTCCCTTGCACATTTGACCTTGGGGAAGGATGGCTTGAGATCTCCAGGGCAGGTCAGTGTCAGTTCTTCATTCAGTCATTTGGTTGTTTTATTTGCTTGGTGCAAACTGGACTCTTTTATCCCACTGGGATTTTGGGCACTTTCCTGTCAGGGCCAAAGTGTGAGAGTCCTTCTCAGGGACAGGGACTGGTCAGGCATTGGAGGGCAGGGCAAGAGCTCTTTGCAAGCTCTTCGTTGCACCCATATATCCTCTGCTCTGTGGTGAAGTGGAGCCTGTGTCTCACTGGGATGCTGGCAGAGGCAGGGCAGGCATCAGCACGCTGGGAAGGGGACTACTGTGAGTCTGCAGCTCCAAATCACCCTGGCAGGGCAGTGGCATGCTAGTGGTTGGAGCTGGCTTGTTTGTTTAGATCTTTTCTGTGGAAGCAGGCGAGGGCCTGTTTGGAGCCTATGAGTCAGGACCAGGAGAGAAACCAAGTAAGGGTGACACCATGGTGCAAGTGTGCCCACCTCCCCAGGTGAGCAAATGGACAAAGTCTGTTTTAAACTGCTCAGGGACCAGCTTGGATAAAGAGGGAACTGAGCTGCAGCACAAGAGGCACTATATAGGAGGTGGAAGGAGAGGCTGCAGAGGAATAAGAGAAGCACTGCCTGTGCATGCAGAGATGGAGCTAGGAAAGCCCAAGCTCAGCTAGAGCTGACCCTTGTAAAGGATGTCAGGGAACCCTGCAGTCACCAGGCATAACTGGTGGCTCTGACAAGGCCCGTCCCTGACTTTGCCAGGGTATCTGTGAGTCCCAAAACTGCTGAAAAGATGAGGTTTCTATCCTAACAGGATAGGGATACAAGGAGAGGCTGAGAGAATATGGCTTATTTAGCTTGCAGAAGAGGAGGCTTGGGACAGCTCTCTCCTCCCCATGACTCTGACCACTCACCCTGACACACACAAGAGTCCCTCTACTCCCACCGTGTGCCCAGGCACTGTTCAGGGGCACAGGGCTTTTCATCACCCTATCTCCAGGACTCCCAAGCCTCCCCTGGCTTCCACCCACCCATGGGGTGCTTGAGACCCCATTTTCCTGGCCCCCTTCATGCCCAGCTGAGCATTGCAGCAGGGAGAGCCTCCCCCACCAGAGCTCACCCAAACCCCAGAGACGCTTCCCAGGGACACATGGGGCTCTCAAGCAGCGCAAAGTGCCAAAGCCTCAGGCTGAACCCCTCCAGCTATGGCACATACTCCCCGGCACAGCTCAGCTGCACCAAATCATTCAAGGCATAGCTGCTCTGGTTTGGGGTAAACCGCAGCTTGGGGTCCCAGTCGGAGGGAGCGTTACATCTTCCTGTGTGCAAACGCCACGAGGGAGAGCCCTGAGGATCACTGGGCTCCAGCAGCGTCCTCGGGGGTGAGGAGGCCCCGTCCTGAGGGGTGCTCGTCCCCCTCACTTGAGAGGGGCGGCAGAGATGAGCACCTCCCTGGATGAGGCCCCGGACCCCAGGTGCATTAACCCTCCTTGCACCCTCAGGTGCAGTGCAGGAGGGTTACCCGCAGGCCCTCCTGCCCACCCAGGAGCTTGCCCACCCACGAGCTGCGGAGGGGTCCCAGCCGGCGGGAGCCAGCAGCCCAGTGGATGGTGCTCTCTCCCCGGCGCTCTCCCACAAAGATGGGGGCTGTGGCAGTGCACCAGATCCAGTGGGCCTCTGCTGCCATTGCACACCCTCCCAACTTGGCCCCACGAAGCAGCTGCCAGCACCAACAGCCTGCCCTCAGACCTCCGACTCTGCGTTCACAGCACTGGCCACAAAGTTCACACCCCACTCCAGGCACCCAGCCTTTCCTGTGCACTTCACCCAAAAGGAGCCTGCCTTGCCCTGCCCTGGTAGGCGTGTCACCCAGACTTGCTCACCCGGTGCAAACTGAGCCCATGACGAGGCATCGGGCAGGAGGTGGCCTCCCCTAAATTAGGATGAAACACCTCTCTTCAGCTACATGCATCTCTACAACTGCCCGCTTCCTGCCAGCCAGCACTCATGGGGCTGCACTCCCTTACGCTGCAACAGGGGCACCACCACACTTCCCTTATCTGCTAGCAGGTTTTCATGCCATCACCTCAACCCTGCACCCTGGCCCTCCGCCGCAAAGGACAGTGGTGGCCACCACCCCCATCCTTTGAGACCACCAGTGTTGGCCAGACAGGAAACTGCTTTCCCCGCCGCCGGATCCCTCCCAGCACCCTCAGAGCACGCACTTCCCCGTGACAGCCAAAAGCCTTGACAGACCTGAAGCTCTTGACTCTGTCCGAGCCCTGTTACGCATCCCTTGGCACGCCTTGCCCCCTCCCGTCATTAAACCCTCCTGAAGCAGCACACACGCCCTCACACTCCTGCCCCAGGGTGACACCCAGGATCCTTCCCACCCCAGCAGGGTCCAGGCTACCCACCCAGCACCAAGCGTTTGACCAGGGACACCAGCCAGTGGGGAGGAAATCCCTCTGCTGCGGGAAAATGAACCACGCTTCAAAGACCAGGTTTCCACATGTGGGGAGGAATGTTTTTTCCTGTTGGTACTTGTGAGGAAACAGGTCCCAAAGGCTGGCTGCCCCCGAGATGCTCTACAATCGGAAAGGCTAGGCAGAAACACCCTTACACAGAAGGAGGACAGGGGATGCAGTAAGAGCACAGCCTGGCTCAGTCAGGAGGCTGACGATGACCTGCAATGCAAGAGGACAGTGACAAGCAGGTTACACTCCTAAGGGAGCAGGAGTCAACAAGAAGAGCCGGTGAGGAAACAGCTGGCAAGGCCAAGGCACAAGAGGGGACGTAGCAAGTGGGAGCAATGGGAGCATGAAGCTGTCTCCCGCAGACAGCAGTGGGGAGAGGAAGGTCAGCAAAACTGGGCCATAGGCACTGTCAGCAAGTAACGCGAGCCTTTGATGTCTAGGTCTGGTCTAGAAAATGCATGTGTGTCATTCAGATGTTGATGGCTATCCCTGAACAGCAAGGACACAGGACACGAAGAGAAAGTGAAAAAAGCACACGTCTATGGCAGACATGACTCCTTGATGACACTTGAAGAGCACCGGCTGCCGCAAAAGCCCTTGCGGGGGCTTGGCATGGCACCAGGGCTTTCCTCTTGGTGCTGCTGGAGGCAAGCTCTGCCCCTGCCTGCAGCTCTGCTGGGCTACCCATAATCCAGACTCCAACGGTCTCCTTTGGTGCTGCAGATGCCAGCAGCGCGGTAGAGGATAATGGCCAGAACCTCAATTTGGTGCCCCACACCTCTTCTGCAGACACAGCCCCAAGAAACCCCCCCCAGCCGCTCAGAGCCAATGCCCCTACTGAGCCTATCACAGCCCCCCTCAGGCCAAGGAGGGGAGAGCCATGACTATCGACAGGGCTTCTCAGGGTTGGACTGTGCGGAATGGGAGAGAGGGGCAAGAGGGGCAGGAGCTGCTGCTGAGTCGAGGGGAACAGGCTCCATCCTGCCCTGCATAGCTGAGGGCTGCCCATTGCTGGAAGGGCAGCATCCCTCCAGCCACCAGCGATGGGAAACATGACTCATGAGCCATCCGATGACTTGGCAAGCCACTTCTGCTCCCATTTCCCTGTAGAGAGAGTGATTCACATCTCAGGCCCCCTAGACCCTACTGCAAAGAGCAGCTGCCCCTGCTGCGCCCCATGGGCACCTCAACAGGTACCAGCAACTCCAGGGCACAGCACATAGTCCCCGCAGGAAAGCCCATATTCTCCATAGGAAGAGCCCAGCAGAGACCCAGAAGGTGCCCCAGCCCTCCTGGCACAAGGAAAGAACAGAACAACGCTGTTAAAGAACAGTCCCGCTGCACTACAGCTCCCCCAAACCCAGCGACTACAGGAGAGAGCAGGCATCCCAGCTAACACAGGGATTCATCTCACAGCTCCCCACGTCTTTCTGAACACTAGGGACACTGCTCCGATTGCCCCAGGAAGGCCAGGTACCCCGGCTTTGTCTGCCCACTGTGCGATGAGAACTAGCCACCTCCTGCTCCCAGGGACACTGCCCGCTCCCCAGAGGCATATTGTAGCTCCCACGCTCGTGGAGGCTTTCCCAGCACACCGAGGCTTGCTGCTCTCCATCCCCAAACAGAGCTTCACCCCACCACAACCCGACGGCAGCCCGAGTGTGTCACGATGGATGCAGACACCAGCTTCAGCCCTCCCCAACACAGCCGCTGTGGGCTGAACGGGGTAAAGCCACGTAGCAAATATGCAGGCAGAGGAGCAGCAAAACCTTTTCTGTAAGAGAGAGGCACAGCCCACTCTTACCTGCTTCCTTGGCTCCCCCCTGCTTCTCAGGACCTGGGTCCGTCTGTCCCCGTGCAAGCAGCAGAGGGGCAAGGACCAGGAGAAAGGCCAGAGCCAGCCCTTGCAGGGCCATGCTGGCACAATGTCCCCGGGCAGGACTCAGTCTGAGCCGCTCTGGAAAGGTATCTGTGTAGCCCAGCGCAGGAGAGGTGCAGACACAGAAATGAAACAGCCACACAGGGAAATCACATGTGGTGCAAAAAGCTTCCTCTTTGGAAAGAGAGAGTCCCACCGGCCACAGGGCTGCTCCTCGCCCATCTGCCCGCAAGCAGCAGGTCCAGGCTTGATGGGGTCTCCTGGGTGCCTCCGTCCAGCCTTTCCGCCGGCTACCTCAGGCCCCCATAACCCTGCTTCCACAAACACCTCCAAAACCTTCTCAGGTCTGCCTCACTCCTCTCGCCCTCCACATCCAGTGGTGGATGTTGAGGAAAACACCCCTGCTTCACCTGCCCAAGCCCACCCCAGGGTGCTCTCATCATGCATCACTTTTGCCTTGAAATCTCTCTACTGATTACCTTGAACTGACCCAGCTGCAGCAATCCTGCTGTTGAACCCCACCAATAGACCTTCCAGATCTGACAAGCTCCTGAACCAGACAGACGTGGCTCATTTCCCTTCTCCTCCAAACCTTTCCTGCTACCCTGCTCTGAGCTCCACTTTCTCAGTGCCTTCTAGGATGTGAAGCGCCTCGACATTGACACTGCACACGGTACTGGGGGTAAGAGGGTCTTCCTGGAGCTGGATGGAGAAGGCTTATTCCTGTCCCTGGCTAGGTCAGGCAGGGTCTTTGGGTACGGGAGGGAATTCCCTGGGTGCTCCTCGTTTTGAGCCATAACCCCAAGCTGCCTTGCTCACGCTCCCCCAGGCTCCCGTCCCTGAAGACGCCTCCACCAAGCTCTTCTCTGAGCCCCTTTCCAGCTCACACACTGTTGCACGGCTTCAAGCTTCCACAAGTCCTGCCTCCCTGTGCTGTTGCAGCTCTCCTGGGCAGCTCCTCTTTCAACTCTGGTTTATACAGCCTCTCTCTCTCTCTGTTTCCCTGGACAGAGGAGCATGATTGCTCTATGGTCCAATGCAATCAGTGTTTTGGGAACAGGTGCTGTCACCCAAGGTGCTTTTCACCACCTGGCTGGGACCAGTTGGCCCAGAGCTCCATGGCAGATCCTTTCCCAGGAACCACCACCCTCAGTACCGCAGGACAGTGCTTTGTGTAGCTGCCTGCATTACCCCAGTAGAGCAGCAACACTGAGGGGTTTCTGGAAGCTAGGTCTCTCCTAAGATCCATTCAGTAACATCAGTCCAGCTGTCTCACATACAGCTGTTGTGAGATTAATGTGGCAAAGTCTTCTAGCAAGCTTGCAGCAAGAGGAGCAGCAGCACTAAGTCATGTCCTCCGTTTCCTTGGTAGTTCCCTGGGCATTGGGAACCAAGCTTTTTTTGTCCCTGTGCAGCCAGCAAAGGTGCAAGCACCCAGGAGAGTGGCCACAGCCAGCACTCACTGGGTAATGTCCTCATAAAATCCCAGCGTTAGACGTAGACACTCTCACTGCCTCTCTGCCATATGAAAGAAGCAAAAACAGTGAAAGAAAACACCCAAGCTTCAAAAATGCACGTTGGTGCAAGAGGCTTCCTATTGCAGCTGATACGAGTATTTCTTTTATTTTCCCCTATCCTGAAATGCACTGATGCCTAGCAATCTGTGTTTGGCCTCTTCCTCCTTAGAAATTTATCATTTTTTGAGATTTGTTGCCTTAGTGTGTAGCATGCACTAGAAAAATGCTGAAGAAATACTGAAGGCCAGCTCACTCTGTCATATGCCTAGCTCTCACACAGTCTAACATTAGAGCAGTTAGTTCAACTGATGATGCCTTACTTCACTGGGAACCACATAGCAGAGTTCAAATGAGAGGAGGTTTCCAAGGGACTGTCAAGTCACGCAGCAACTCATGAATCCAAACTCGGCATGGCATGATCAACGGGAGGTGATGAGCTCCAGCTCCATGAGACCATTCACTGCACTTCCAAGAGCACATCATGTGTGGGCTGCGCCTACTCTCCGTACACTGCTCTAGTCGTTGCAGCAGGACTAAGTCTCACAGAGCCATCTCAACACATCTTAGATGCTTTCTAATACAGATTTCCTGCTATAGCATACAGCGGACGTGTACATTTTTGCATGTCATAAAGCCAGCCAGCCACATACCTTCCTCCCAATGGGGCTGAGGCCCCAAGGCAGTTGATTTGATCATTCTATACATGATTGATGGGCTGTTTCCTGAAGGTCCGGTTCAATCATCAATGAACTAACAGGACTCAGAGAGGACTGAAGAGAGAAAAACCCAAACCACCCGCAATTTGCAATCAGTTTTACTTCTGATAGGGAAGAACACTGAGGGCTCAAAACCATCCACAAAACCACAAGGAAAGGAGAAGTAGCTGTGGCTTTTGAGGATCAGGCTTTGTGGAAAGCACTGCTAACGTATCCACCACATCCCCCTACAGTAAAGTCTATTCCTGTGTCAGACCTCACAAATAACAGAAATATATTTGGGGCTTATCCCCATCCCTGCCCCATACCTGTCCTTGAGGGAGCCCGGTGTGGGGCGTACCTATAAATCATCCGATACGGCCATGGCAACGGGGGTGGGCTGAGGCCAGGCTGGGATGTCATCGCTGGGATGACGCACCACCCACCATGATGTGGTGGGTCAGAATCAGGCCTGGGGAGGGTAACCCGGTCAGATCCAGCCCCGGGATGGACAGGCAGGGGTCTGCTCCCTGCACAGCACCAGCGCATGACCCCATGTGATCTGGGGGGCTGGCTCCCCACGTGCTGCTGCTTCCTCTCCAGGACACAGCATCTGCCTCAGTCAGGGCTGCAGCCTGCGCTGCCAGAGCCCAGAGGCTCTTCTGGCAGGGAGAGATGGAAAATGCCCCCAGGATCCTGGCTAGAGCCCAGCCCCAAGTCCTGCTGTGGGGTCTTCCTCACCCCTCCAGCAACCTTGCCAACCCCACCGACCCTGAACCTTCTTCCACACAGGGGTCTTGCAGTGCCGTCAGGGGGACAAAGGGCAGTGCACTGTGCCACCCTGAGCTTAGGAACCCTCCAGCCCCTTCCCCAAGGTGACAATAAAACCCAGACGTCCCAGTCCCCTATAGCACATCTCCCGCAGAGCTGGGGGGAGAACCCCAGACCTATGGGCTGAAGGAGGGTAAGGGGAGCCCAAATAGTTCTGGGGTGCAGAGGCATCCTTCAAGGGTGACAGCCTGGTCATGATGGGTTATCACAGTCTGCCTTGGGCGCAGCAAAACATCTGGGAGGTCTGCAGGAAGCTGTGCTGGCCTGGGAGAGGGATGGCATTGGGGCATCTTTGCCATCACCCAGTTGGCAGCAGCAGCTGGGGCAGGGATGTGGCACCGGCCACCCAAGGCTGCCATCTCTGCTCCCAAGGCGGCTTATGGAGCTGCCTGGTCTGCCTGTAGTCTGGCCTCTCCCAGGACAGGTGGGCTGAGAGCGGAGATGTGACAGCGGACAGCCCCACAGGGTGCAGAGGTCCCAAGAGGGCACTCCTGGGTGCTGGGCAGAGCTGTGGCAGGCCCTGGGGGCTGGATAACCGTGCCTCCTTTCCCTCTGCTCTGACTGCTACAGCAACCTCCTTCCAGGGGAGGGAGCAGGACCTGCTGCCTGCCCTACACTGCGAGCATCTCCCCACCCTTCTGAGTCCATCTGTGCATGCCCCCCTGCCATGCCCCTCTACCCAGAAGCAGGGACCCAAGCCAAGCAAGACTCTCTGCCCTGGCACTGCTGCCTTGACACATGTCCCTCTGCAGTGCCAGCCAGCTCACAGCCCCCGACCCAGCCTGCCCAGGCCTGTCTGGCCTTGTGCTGCAGCCCACACCTGCCCCAAATACATCCCCACTCCCCTTTGCTCTCAGACTGCAACCCTCTCCCATCTGGCTGTGCACTTGCTGACCGCACAGAAAGATATTTTTAGCACATGAAATTGGACATAAGCTGTTTGCAGCTGGGACCAGGGTGGAGTAAGGCTGGAGGAGCATGGGATGCTGCATTTTGGTTTAAGGAAGATGTGCTCAGAAATGGGGTTTCCAGCTCTGACCTCTGAGCAGTTCCACATCTGGTCCAGCCATTCCCACTCCAATCTTCAGCCCGTCCCACCCTGGTTCTCCAACAGGGAACATAGCTAAACCCAGGAGGTGGGAATTGTAAGATTTGGAGCAGCATCTCAGGCCAGACTAGCTTCCCCCAAAACCCTGCTGCCTGAAGGTGCTGCTTTCAGGGCAGGCTCTCTGCACGAAGACCAATACTTCTGACCCGCTCTTTCTGCCACCGAGTTTCATACCCACATCCCCCCACCTGCCCCCTGGCAGAGGCGGCATATTGTGCCCGTGGTCTCTCTCTCTCTGCCTGAATGGAGCAGCTCGCTCTCTCCTAGACAAACCCTTCGCCCTGCACTTTCTTCATGGCACAAGCCTCTCTGCATTGCTCCTGTTCAAATGCTCCACCCAACCCCATGTCCCGGCCCCACACGTCACAGCTCTCTTTCATAGACAGCTGATGGAGTGCATGTGTTTGGTGGAGTCATGAGTCTCTCCTTCCATACACAGGTCTTAAATAAAGGGCTTGGCATTTCCCCTTTTCAGTTCTCAGGCTGCACAGCTTCCAGAGGAAAGCAAATCCTGAGGAACCGCCTATGCCACCCAGGGTAGCTGGGAATAGAGAAGTGCCCAAAATATCCTAAGCCCGGAAGGAACCAGATGAATAGGGAAGAAAAAGCCAAGCAGCTGTTTCCCCAGTGAACTGGAGCCAGTGGCCTGGTGGAGGGGGGAAGGTGGCACAGCCGTTGGTGTTAGCTGGTCATCTGGGGGCTGCACAGCCCCATCACCATGCCAGGTGCTGCACCAATGATGCCTTGGAGGAGGCATCGCTGCTGCCAGGGGGACCCTGAGCTGGCACAGCTCCCGCCTGATCTATCCCGGGATGTCTGTCCATGTCGTGGCTGTGCAGTTGCCATCAGTAGAGTGCTGTGCCTCCGCAAAGCAGCTTCCCTCAGA